CTCATGTGGGGGTTTGACAAAATCTGGTTGTCCTCAAGACATTTTGGTTGTCCAAAAAATATCTCAATTAAAAAAATAATTTAAAAAGTAGACTATATTGTTCTGTTCTGTATACAAAGTGTAATATATACAAATGTTCAGTCAGCCTCTAGATTTTATTAGCAACATTTTTGCTGCTTTACTCCTTGAGCCTTAAATACTCTATTTCAAAGAAGAGAATGAGGAAGTTTTATTCATGCAGATCCTGTCAACCTGGCTGACTGAGAACAATTATATATAATAAACTTTGTCTACAGAACAATATACTTGTTAAATTACATTTTTCTTGAGGTTCTTTTGGACAACCAAAATGTTTTGCAGACAACCAGGTTTTGTCAACAGGTTGTCTGCTGGACAACCTGAAAATTTTCCTTATGTCTACCCCTGCTTAGTTTTTTCACAGCTATGTTGTCGGAGAAAACTTGTTTTTATGTATTGTTACCCACAGAGAAGAAAAAAAAAGATGTGGACGTTTGTTCAGTCATAAATCCATCTTGCTAATGTCGGCTTGTGCTCTGAGAGCGAAGAGCAGAAGCGGGTCAGTTCCAACAGGCTCACTGTAACTCTATGGCAGGCTGATATTGCATTTATTTGGCTTCACCACGCTTACATTCCAGTTATCTGAAATTGTTTTATGACTAGATTAGACATGGTAGTTATTTACGCTAAAATAATCAAATGTTTTCTTTTATTATTTTGTTTTGTTTTATTTACTTATTTTTTAAACTTGGAAATCTTTCCAGCTTGAGCTTGTTTGTTGATTTTTGAAAATAAGGGGCACTTAAGAGTTTTTTCTTCACTCTGCACCCTTTTAATTCAGGGTAGGATTTACTTTTTTTAAATGGTGTACATAGATTACTTTGTTTTTATAAATGAAACTATTTTTGTTTCTAATTTTTGTAAATAAATTACATTTTTGACCAATCTGCCGTGTCTCTCTGTGAACCCTCACACGTACATATGAAGACGTAATTTTTGTTTACATTTTGCTGATATTTCTGACTCACTGAATTTAACACTATACATTAAAAATTAGAGCTTTCATGCAGAAATACTTTATTCTCTTAAATTGTCTTTATTTACACAGCAATAACACAAGAATTTATTCATATTTGTTTTATTGTGCTGTGAATGTACGCACGTGTGCACGTGAATAGATAAGATAGATAGAGTATATAATATATGCATTTAGATATGTGTGTATACATGTACATGTGTATACTGTAGGTACACACGTGCACATGTGTGCATTCATAGCAGAATAAAACAAATATATGATTAAGTTCTTGTATTATTTCTGTGTAAATAAGTATGACTGTTAAAGAGAAATAACTTCAAATGAACAAACATGTTTCTTTATTACAAATTTTATTTTCTTTAAACTCTTTAAAATTTACTTTGTTTCTTATTCAGGGCTCTAGACTAACTTTTGCACTGGTTGCACCAGTGCGCCTGACATTTTTTTCTTTGGTGCACCAGCACAAAAGTTAGGTGCACCAAAATTTTCAACCACATCGCATTTAACATCAGAGTTTTACAGGTTATTTTTTTAAATCACTGTTCATTAAGGCAATACAGTATTAACTCGAAAATAATTAGTTAATCTAGTAAACATGAAGTTCTTTATTTGAACCAGAATTGTTGACATTTAACTTACTGAAAAGTATTTAAAGTGATTCAATAAAATTCTAAGTGCAAATGTTTAAGGGCTGAACATTTAAACATCTTAAACACTTCATGGTTAAAAATGTTTAGACAMATACCCCTCAGATGGATAACTCCTGTAGTTTGGCCAAATGGATCTTTGGCCTTGGATAAACCAGAATGATGAACAGAGAATATTGTTTAATATCAGAAATATTACTGATATTTATTAAAGGGTTGTGCAGAATTTTTAAAAATAACACTAGGAATGTGCGATATGGCAAAAAATTCATATCACGATATACATTACGATGAGTGGCGGTAACAATATATTTCACGATATAAAACTTATAATAGAAAATAAATAAATCACACATTATTTGAGTGGAATAAATATGTATAGGTAAAAAAA